AGCATAATGCACTTATTGAATGCCTATTTTTTTTTAATTTCAAAGGAAGATCAATAATAGTACAAGATGTATTTTCTAGTTATTTCTGTATATCTACAATGTACAGGGATCACTATTGAAGGCTCTGAACATCCAGTAAATATATTATATGCATTAAAATATTAGAAATGATATAATTTGAATTTTAAATGTCTTCTTTTTTAAAATTAATTTTATTAGTTTTAATTAGTTATACATGACAGTAGAATGAACTTATATACTTTACTATATCATATATATATGGGATACAATTTCTCATTTTTCTGAGTGTACGTGTTGCAGAATCATATTGGTCATGTAGTCACATAGATACGTAAAGTAATAACGTCTTTCACTCTACTGTATTTCCTATCCCCACATACCTTGCCCTCCCCTCCCATCACTTCCCTCTACCTAAACTAAGGTAACATTATTCTTCTCTACAACCCCCCACCTTATTGTGAAATGACTTCTTTGTACTTATAAAGTTTTTTTTTTAAAAGAAAAATTCTGTCTACTTTTCAGAGCCCAATCCAGAGTAAATGATTTTGTGCCCCATATTTTAAAGTAAAAATTGTTTTAAGGAAATTCAGTCATTTCCTCATGTCTTTGGGAAGATCCAGGGATTTTCAGGCTGAAGACTTGGTTATGAATGGAGCACCAAGGAGCACCAAGTCTACAAGACACCCTGCAGTGTGGCTCTTTGGGGGCAGTTTTCCACTCATGAGTCTCAGGAGCTTTCCAGATGCTGGTGCCATGACTTCTTTTGGACTCCAAGAACTTCATTCTCACTGTCGTCTGGAAAACCTCATTAGGTGCATGACTCAAAATGACTTATTGGAAGATCTTCAAGGACAGAAAAAAATGGGCTGCATTTTTCAACACAGGTAGCCTACATTGTCACACACTGATAGAAGTTTAGAATCAGAATGCTTGGAGGAGTCTAACAAATATAACCTTTTTATTTATCCAGAGATGGAAACAGGTATTGGAAAATAACAGTGATTTCCATGAGGGACGCCGTGAGGGAGGGGCAAAGTAGGGTACTTTGTCTTCTGTCTGTCAGTCTTTCAGGGAACTGGCATCATTTTTCACTTCTTCCTCCTTGAATTTACTAAAAAAAAAAAAAAAAAAAAAAAAAAAAGATTTCCTCTGTCTTCTGAAGTCACAGGGTACATTTAACTGTCACAACCTCTTGGGTGACTAGTTTAAGAATTATCATCAGTTCTTATCATAACCCTTTGAAAGAAGATTTAGCTACTAAATCTTCAGTCCCGTACTCCTAAGCCAGTGAGAGTACCATTTGGAACGGCACAGCCCCAGTATCCTACCAAGATTTCACGACTCAATCTCTAGGGGCTGACATTGGCAGCATCCACAACTGGTTTATTGTGATTCACTAGACTGGTCTATAGCCAGGCATTCTTGGTCCTGTTCACCCACACTACAGAAGTTCTTTTGGGACATTCTCTGTTTCTGTTTCTGATTAAAATTCTCCACTCTACCTTGCTGTTACTTTAAACAGCAGGGTTGCAAATTCAAGCCATAGCTTGCAAATGCTGTGGCTATGGGTCTTCCTTTGTTTACCTAGTTATGTTTGAGTTTGACTAAAAACATGTATACACACTGAAAGGAATTGCAGGTGATAATTTGAACGTGCAAATTCTATTTGTTTAACACAACTTTGCCTAGCATTGCCTTTCTGAACAACTGATTCCCGAATCTCGGGGGCTCTAGTAGCCCTGGGTTTTAGGGATTCAGACAGATGGTACCTGAGCTTCTTCTTTCCTCTGAGTTCCTTCCATCCTCATCTGGCCATTGCTGTGAGTGTCATTTTCACAACTATAAACAGCTCCTTTCAAACATTCTTTCCAGGTGTGTTGGTAAAAGGCCAAAACAAGGATGTGGAAGAGAAACACAAAATAGAATGACTTTTGAAAGTTTTTTGCTGGGATCAAAGACTTGAGTCCATTTGCAGGGTGATGTTGACTAGATGCTTTTAAGGGCAAAACCACTAGTCTCAGTCTTGAGTTTCCAGTTCTTTATCTACAGTAAAGATTATTGGCAGATTTTTGTTCAGGTTGAAATAACTTTTATTTTTAGGAAAAATAAATAAATTCTACTACTTCAAACTAAGACATAATTCTAAAGGTGTCAGTCTCTTCTCTCTCATTTCAGAGTAACTGGGCAAAATATGTCCTGTGTCTAGAGGATTGGATAGTAGGAATTATCAGCAACTGGTGAAGATCAATATGTCCCTGAAGGGCCGTATTAAAAACAAGACACAGGGGACAAGCATTACATCTCAGCTGAGGAAGCATTAAGAGATGGCAAGAGTCTAGAGTATACTTTCTGCTCTATTTGCTATGCCCTTGACCTTGGAGAAATGGCTGCAGGCCTCAGCAAAGCAATGGGCTTAGATTCATTTCCCACATCTCTTTAGATACAGCCATTGGTGAGTGATTCTACTAGGCTTGGACAGGCAGAAGACATCTCTCTGCAACAGTGGGGGAGAAGGGAATCTGGGGCTAAGGTCTGATAGTGAAGCAAAAGTCAAATGAGTTGAAGACCCAGTTTATATAGAGACTGTCACACTCAAAAGAATCACAAAGGTCAAACACTGAGATGTCCCAGTTGGAGACAATGGGAACACTCCATACCAGTAGGAACAGCCTACAACACATTCATGTGGGCTGTGGAGGTCGTTTCTGTGATAGTCACAGTATATTAGCACTGGGTGCATCATTAAGTTCCCAGAACCTGAGAGGCAGACCCTTATTGGCAACTGGTATAAGGTAGGATTATCAGGTAAAGTCCAGCACTGGAACTGGAAAATTCCTTGAAAGACACAGTCAAACAGAACCAGAGGAAAAAGTCAAATACAACTGACTTGTGATTTAGGAGGTCAGGGAGAGTTGGTGGAGGCATTGACACAGTGTTGGTGAGCTACAGATAAAGGAGTGTGGCTTTTCTCTTCTGCAAAATTTGCCATTGGCTCCGTTCAAAGCCACATTCCTGGATGCTTGGCTACTCTGTGATTTGCTCCCCCCTCTGGGAGAAACCTCCTTGTCTTCCACCCTTCTCCTCTGTGTGTCTGGTATTCCTCCTCAGCCAGCACTTCCAGCGCTTAAGGGTTTGATTGCCCTGTGATTAAGGAGGTTTGTTGGGACCTAACACACTGAGAAGAGGGTGGGAAGAAGGCAATAAATATTTAATGAGAATTTTGCTTCTGGGCCTTCTTCTTAGAGGGGGAAAATGGAAATCGAAAGTCTTCACTGGAACCCCCTGTTGTTGGAGGACAAAGAAATGTTCTCTCACTGCTGTGAAAATGAGCTGCTGGCACCTCAGCAAGAGGCCCCTGTGAGAGGGGGGAGTCCTTAATGAATCACAGAGCAAAAAGCTCTTTCCTGGAAGGAATTATCCCCGGTGCTTTCTCTAATAACACTCCCAGGCCTCAGCCTGATGGATGAGGAGTTATGGCTTGGGAGTGGAGGCTCCTGGGTTATAAGGTTGAAATTGATGCAGCATCCCCCACCACGGCTCCTCCACCATGCAGAAAGGAGAGCCACCCAGCTGGGTTCTACATTTTTCTGGTTGGGACCTCAGATAACACAGAGACAGGACCAAGAAGAAAATTTTCTCAGAGGAAATCTGAGGCATTGTGAGCAGCTAGATTCGTGGCTTTGGATCAGTCTATGTTTAGCCGGACTCTTTGTACCTTTAATTTTCAAACCTGTAAAACAAATAATAATACTAGTGCATAGGGGATTTAATAAAACAATATATTAAAAACCATTTAGAATGATTGACATACAGTAATTATAAATGCTGAACTATTGTTTTTATTATCATGCTTGTGGTGGTAATTCTGGAGGAAGGTGGAAATTAAAACTGAAGGACTGGATAATGGCTGCTGTGGAAGGGTCGGAATGTGGCTGATGCAGAGAAGATTCTAGGTCTTGGTAGTATCAGCAGGCAGGTAAAGATTGCTTATCAAGCTCATAGGATTTGTTATTCATTATTTTATTTATCCTCACAGTAGCCTGATAAAGTCATCACCATCACTATTATCTTTGTCACCATGACCATCACCACCACTACCACTACCTCCCCCCATCATCACCATCACCACCATCATCACCTCCAACATCGTCATTATCTCCACCATCCTCACCTCCATCACCATGGTCACCTCCACTATCATCACCTCCACCATCATCATCACCACCACCATCATCACCTCCACCATTATCATTATCTCTGCCACCATCAACCTCATCACCATCACCTCCACCATCATCATCATCTCTGCCACCATCAACCCCACCACCATCACCTCCATCATCATCGTTATCTCTGCCACCATCAACCTCACCACCATCTTCATAATGAAAGATGGAAATCAAATCCAGGTCTGAATTACATAAAAATTGGTGTTTGTTCTTCCTCCCACAGTCATCTCTAATACAGGCAAAGATGTGCCAGTTAATTGAGGCAACCATGGCAATCCTTTCTCACTGTTCTTGGTTCATGCCTGAATGATTTCAGATGTGGCACTCAGAGTAGCAGGCATGACCTGATTAGAAGGAATAGGTAAAGGGGAAATGAGGACGTTCCCAAGGGAGAGAGTAGATCCTCTCAGAGAGGAGAAACACAGCAGCACACCCCACCTGCCTCCCCAATTTTATTGGAGGTTCAAGGAAAGTTTCCAGAGTCTAGCCCAGGACCATTTGTTTTTTTTATTTTGACTTAGAGCATAGTAACTCCAGGGATTGCTTCTAAGAGAGGATGGTGTGGTACTGACAATATTGAAGCTTAAGGAAATTGAATCCTCTATTTTTGCCTCAGTTCCTGCCTCCTTAACTGTTTATTAATTTTGGATAACTGCAGCAGACTTTCTGTGTAAGGGTCTTGATATTTTGGTTGCCAGGTGATTGGGGATTGTGACATAGGTTCAGTGGTAAGGGAGGGTCCAGGCCATGTGCTAGGGTGTTTTGTAATTTTGAAACAATAGTTTTCCTTAAGAGGATGTAAGAGTGGATTGGGGAGGTTTTGACCTACTAAGGTTGCAACCTCCGGGTGCTCCCGTATCAGATAAGGGTGACCAAGCAGGGGCTCACCCATTCATGGCTGACCAGCTACCTAACAATCTCTGTTTGCCTTTCTCAAGTCTTTCATGCACTCTGACTATGGGATTTCTGGAGGTAGGCCCACAGGCCCTCATGTGTTCCTGTCTCCACCCTTGGGTCCCTTCAGCTGCTGACACTGATAAGGATGACCAGAAGCTTTGATTCTACTCTTCCCCCCGAGATAATCCTGACCAGATTTAGTGCTACAGCTGGACCAGAAGATGATTTAAGGACATGGCCCCATCTCTCCAGGACATTGGGAAACTGGGCATCAGATCCTCTCTTGTCCTTCCCCTTGTTTCTCAAAAGTGGCACCGTCTCTGGCATCAGGGCCTCAGTTTCCCTTCTACATAGTTCTGTTCCTATCAAAATAGGAATACTGCAAATCTATGCCTTTTACTAAAACCACAGGTGTCTGGATCTTGTATATCACTGACAAGTTTCTTCCTGGAAGCCTATTCAAAAAGGTCTGCAATTTTGACTTTACCACCTATCTTGCTACTTGCTATAAAGCCTGAACTGAGACCCCTAATCTGAGAGTCCCTATGACAGGCATGTGGCTTAGGCCACCAAGAATGATAATACTTGAATAACAAGAATTATGCTTCATCCTACTGCTTCTGATTTCAAAGCCAAATTTTTAAGAGAAATAATGGGTCAGTTGACTTGCTTTCTTCTCTTTTTTTTTTTTAATTCAGATTTAGATGAAGATGAGGGCATATTCAGTGACAGATAATATACTGTTCTTCAAAATATGATTTTCCTCCAAATCCTTAATCTGGCTTCCCTTTTCCTTTTTCAAACAGTCTCCTTGTGTTCCATCTCCACGGGCACAATGCCACTCATCCTGATTTTCCAAGACTCCCCGCAACAAGGTGAGTCCATGCTAATCTTATCACTCCCAGGTCATAGGAAATAACCAAATGCTCTGGAAAGATGCACACATGCTTATTTTCCAGAAAGTTCCCCCACGTGCTGTGGCTGCTGATACCCAGCATCTCATCCCTTAAATTCTGGGACCTCCTTTACTCTCCATCTGTGTGTTCAAGAGCTGATTTCATATAGGAAGATTCAGTATGCTGGTGTCCAGTGAGTGTCTCTGAGGGTCTAGTCTCTTCCTGTAGACATCTCTGTGCACACGCTATTCACTGAGTAGCATGTACTCACCTGGGAACTGCTTGGGAACAAGGGGTGGATGGATTCATCACTGTGCCTCAAGCACCAAGGAAAGTACCCATGAAATATTGGGGTCCTGGCTTCCCGTTCTTTCCTACGCCCACAGTCCTGGGGAAGGGTATCTGCTTCTTTAGCTGATCTGATGAACTATTCAAAGAAGGTCTGAGATTGCTGAAAGACCCTGACTCTTTGTTGTTGTTGTTGTTGTTGTTAGTGTTGTCACCAGGCGACTTACATGTGACCTTCAATATTAGAATCTCCAACAGGGAATCCTTCTTTCATGCTGTCCCTTCCTCAACAAAGATAGCATATTGCAAGATTAGAAATTTCCTACAAAAAGTGAATTAATGAAAGAAAAAAATGAACCCCTTATGAATGTCTGCACAGAACAAATGCTAGCATAGCCCAATCAGCGTCAGGGGAATCCGTGAAGGTCATTCTTCAGGGACAAGTACAGATTGAAGGGCTCACGCAGGAACAGATGGGAGATTTGGGGGAGAACAGATGCAAGGCTAGGAAGGTCAGAATTAAGAGGGTTAAGGCCTCCTGGCTTCTTGTGGCATTCAAAATGGCCACAGTCATGCTTCCAAGCCAGAGAGATTCTGCAGAGCAACAGGGCACATATCTGAGTCTCCCTGTCCTTTTCTCTCAACATTCTTTTGCAGTTCTTTGAAGGGACAGCTGGATCCTGTCCAGGTGATCAGGAGCAGGTACTCACATTTCCACTCCAGCAGCTGGCTGATTGCTGGGCTGAAGGGGTTTAAGGTGACTCTGTTAATTGATGCACAAAACAACCCATCAAAAGGTAAACTGATCCTGCTGCTCCCGGGGGCGTTAGGAAACTTTCCTCTGCAGCCTTCCTTTTGCTGCTTGTTCTAGTGCTAAAGCAACAATGCTTCCCAGTGCACTCCAGCGGAGAAACAGTTAAGCATTGTGTGGTGTATTTCACTCCAGGAGGGCAGTTCCGTGTGTGATTGAACATTCCATCATCATTTGCCATCTTCAAATTGCCCATAAGAAACCCCAACATCTAGATGCAGCGTTAGAACAAAGAGGGCTGGTTACTTTGCATTGTAGGCTGTGGGCAGGAAAATTTGAGCAAAGGTATTAGGATAAATGCGATGATTGGAGAGATGATAGAAAAAGATATTTTTCATAGACTGCTTTTGTTGCTGATTTTTCTTTTTAATGTAGAAAGGCCATATTTTGTGGAAGCCAAAAAGCAAAGAGTCAAAAGAAATGTGGTTTTTTGAATCCCGATTTTCTCAGGTGAGTCTGACGTTTACTCCAGCTCCTTTGTGCATGGATTTTACGACGTGTGTGATACCCATGAAGACTTAAAATATGACATTTTTCCTATCTGATAAGCTGGATTTTCTTTTTAGGAGAGAGATAAAGCATTGCTGATTTTTAAAGAATTGTTTGTTAGCAAAGCTACAGGCATGACCCAGTACTGTGGATTTTATAGCCATTAACTCGTTTAATCCAAGTGAATAATCCTCAAAGTAAATATTGTAATGCCCATTTTGCAAATGAGGAAACCAAGGCTCAAAAACTGAAATTTCTTACAGTGGTGCATAGGTTCAGTACATTTTGAAGCTGGGCTTTCAGACCTGGCTGATTTAACTCCAAATCTTGGTGAGACCGAATAGGAGAGTGGTCAAGGGCTTCAGATGACCACCAAGTTGTATCTTGCTGATTCCACAGAACAATTCATCAGTGTTAGGTGAGTTACAGTGCTTTTCCATGGTTTTGTAAAATTGAGATTATGAAGGCTCCTCCCCGCCCCCAGAGTTTTCAGATTATTAAATGAGATGTACATACAGAGCCCTAGGCAAAGGTCCTGGCGCAGAGAAAATGCCTTGTTAAGAGATGGCTACTGTACTTCTCATCAATGATATCTGGATCCCCCATTGCTGGAAGAGCCCTGTCCTTCCTGAACCTTGTGCTTGAGAGTCTGATACCTACATTACCAGTTAGGAGACAAGCTTGGTTTCCCTTGGGAGGCACGGTAGGGCCAAAGTGGTGAGAAAAGAGAGAAAGGAATTAGCTTCAAGAGAACCTAGGTAGAAAAGGCTCATACCTGCACTGGGAAATGTGTGAGAGATGGATGCATCAAGGACAGCTCCTGTGATTCTGGCTGGATGGTGCTCTTAGCCGGTTTGCCATTAACCAAAGAGTTAAAACAGTTACAGGAGGAAACAGCGCTATGCCTGTGGAGACTTATCTAGAAGGGCTTATATCCAAGAACCATCATTCTGTGGAAACATTAATCAATAATCTATCCTTAAATGAACTTCTATTTTATTATAAATAGAGGACAATTAGGAACTGGCATCCAGCTTCAGCAGAAATTGCTCTCAGAATTAGACACTAAGGAGAAAAGGCTTATGGCTCAAAGAGTTTACTTCATCCCATTCTCTTTAATTCCTGGAAACTGTGGACTCGAGGTTCTTATTTAATATGAACCAAAATTCACCATAAAGTTCCTAGGTGCCAGTTTACAAAAGCCCCCGTGTAATTACATTAGATTTGCTTTTGCCCTGCAGATTAAAGTCAGAACCAGGTTGGGGTGTAAATCGGGCGTGATCAGAGCAGCTTTCTAATGAAAGCCATGGCTGTGTGCCTGCCTCCTTTGTGAAGCAGTGAACATTCATCCAAGTCCCTTTTTCAATTGAAACTTTAAAATGATGCTGAAGTCTGAGAGGGCTGACGGGATGGATCAAGAAGCATGGACAACTTTTTTTTTTTTCAAACATCAGTTTCTCCAGTGAGGGTTTTAATAAGAACCCTCGCTTTGGTCATTGTTCCAGAAAGGGACTTGATTTGCATCTTTAGGGAAAAAAATGTGCTGGACTTTGAAATTCTTCACCTTCTTGGAGCACTAAAAAATGTCACAAAAGTCGGCACACTGAGGACCACTGAGTTTCACAGCAGTAAGGCCATACTGAAGGATGACAGCTAAATGGACCTCGGCCACGTGCCCTGCATGACACCAGGTGCCGGGGTCGCAAACTCATTTCGTCAACACCCTGTTTATTGAGACTCTCCAAATAGCCAGGGATCATTACCCGTACTGGGGACACTGGTCCCTGTTCTCATGAATCTTCAATCCTTTGAGGGGAGACAGTACTGAATAAAAATGCAGCCTTTGCCTTTCGTGGGCTCAGAGATGCTTAAGATTTCTGGCAAGAACAGCCAGAGTTCGTGGCCGTCGTGATTGAGGATGTAGGCTTCTGAATTACATGGCCATAGTTTTGAGTTTTCGATGTAGCACAGACTTGCTTAGTGTTCTTGGGCAATTAATTCTGTGAATCTCAAGAGTCCTCGTCTAGGAAATGGGCATCCCAACGTTCATTCTCAAAGGCTATTATGAGATATACCTGGGGAGACATAGGAAGCAAGCTAATGTGAATGAGTGCCACGTATCCATAATAGACTGAGATGCCAAAATGACTAACGCCATGATTTCATGCAAGTCGCATAACCTTTCTGGATCTCAAATCTCCTTTTTCCTGAAAATGGGAGCAATAATCCCTTCTGCAGGAAAAACAAAATTAAATTTGACACTTTCTGTGGGGCACCTAGGACAGGACTTGAGTTCAAAAAGTGGTAAATATTTTCATAAGTGTTAAATAATCACAAAAGCCCCTGAGCAAAATGCTACAGTCCATGTCATTTGCCCCCTGTAGGGACAGCACAAAACTTCAGGAGGATTTTTTGTTTGTTGGTTGGGTTTTTTTTTTTTTTTTAAAGTCTACACATTAGAAAGTTCTTTTGAAAATCATCTCCTAGGGTGTTGTTAAAGACATATTTTGATGAGGACATAAAAAATTCACAGACCAAAAAAAAATTGTATTTCCCTTGTGGTAAGTGTTATCCAAAAATCTAATGGGAAAAGAATTGCTGCCGACATTCGGAGCACGTCCACTCAGAGAATAGAGAGTTTTAATGAAAAACCGCCACCTGAGGTAGGAAATGTTTGGGGTTTTTCTTTTAGAGGACAGAAAGGACCATATTTTGACATATATACCTGTTTCTCAGAAAAGCAATAACAAGTAACTCCCACATCCATTTCCAAGAAAGCAAAAGAGGCCCTTTTGAGTAGATACCATTTATGGGTTGGAGATTTTTCATTAAAGGAATCCTGTTACTGCAGACCCACATGAGCCACTCCCAACCTGGGCAGAGGCCAGAACTGGCTCCCGTCTCAGGTCCCCTCCGCAAGACCTGCTGTCTGTCACCATTAGATTCTCAGGTCCTTGTGAGGTGACCTGGGGTGGGTCTGTGTGTGTCACCTTAAGCCTGCCTGAATCTCCCTGCATATCCTTGTTTCTGCTCTGGTCTTTTTAAATTTTTTTTTTTAATTTTCTTTTAAATTTATATATGACAGCAGAATGCATTACAATTCTTATTACACATATAGAGCACAATTTTTCATATCTCTGTTTACAAAGTATATTCACACCTATTTGTGTCTTCATAACTGTACTTTGGATAGGGATGATCATCCCATTCCACCATCATTAATAACCCCATGCCCCCTCCCCTCCCCTCCCACCCCTCTGCCCTATCTAGAGTTCGTCTATTCCTCCCATGCTCGCGCTCCCTGTCGCACCATGAATCAGCCTCCTTATATCAGAGAAAACATTCGGCATTGGGTTTTTTGGGGATTGGCTAACTTCGCTTAGCATTATCTTCTCTAACTTTATGCTCTGGTCTTTTCTGTTGTCCCTCCACTGTTCTCCATCCCTGTCCCCTGTCCCTTTCTGCCTCTCCTTTGTGAACATCTTTATTTCTCTGTGCTCTGCCTGCCCCTGACCCTTCTCTGCATTCTTGACTCTCTAGTGCCCTTTCTCCCTTGCTAATGGTTTGTCTGTCTCCTACTGGGCTGTTGTTTATTTTCTTTCTTTTCTCTCCTGCTTTCTTTCCTCCTTTCTTTCTTCTGCCTCTTCCCTTTCGTAAACATTTTCTCCCTGCCTATCAATTTTTCTTTTCTTTTTATGCTGATTTTTTTCAGTATTTTTCCCAATGTGTTTTCTCCCTGTCTTGCCTGTTAGTGTCTCTCAATACCTCACCCACTCTCTCTGCCTTCCTCTTCCTATTTTTGTATCTGTTTCAGATTTCCCCTCCCTTTACCATTCTCCTCTTTCCCCCTGTTTCCCTTGCTCACTTTATACTCCCCGCTCTGTGTCTCCACTGGCTTAATTCTATCTATCTCTGCTGTGTCTGTGTGTGTGTCTCAGCTTTGCCTCATCACACCATCTCTCCCTTTCCAGAATAAGTCTGTAAGCATGCACACGTACGCACTCTCATTTTTTTTTTTTTTCTGTCTCTCTCCTTCCCTGCATCCTGACCTGCCAGACCTCTTCCCAGAGAACAGGCTGTAAATTTAAAGGGACTCCATAACACCACTGGGTGTTGTTTGGTTTATGATGCCTTCGTGAAATCACAGACACATAATTCATTCTAGCAGCGACTTCTTTCTGGTTGAGTCAGCTTCACACTTGGTGCCCTGATGCCTGAGACATAGCTGTCCCTGCTACCGCCCCTGTCACATTTCCAAGCCCCTCTGGCCCAGCCGCCTGGAGGCTCCTCCGTCTACCCTGGAGTGGGTTCCTCTCCTGGGTACCATCCCATGAGTCCTCAGTGAAACCCAGCTCGGGAGGGATTCAGTGCAACCTGGATTGAGTTGATGAAGTCAAATTATATTTAGGTTGAAAGAGTGAAGGAGAAGAAATAAGAAGCTATTATTAATATAATAATTAATATACATATTAATAGGGAAGGATGTGCTCCAAGAACGTGTTTGGCCTCACACAGTGGCAATCCTGGGGAAAGAGTATTTAGGATAGGCCCGAGTCAGGATGACCTGTGTAGGACCCATGACCTCCTCTCCAGAGCTGCCTTACATCTCTTCTTTGGTCAATCTGTGTGACACTTTCTCAGGCAACTGACAATGGTGGCAAAGGGTGAGATCTGACTTCAAGAAGAACTTGGGTATAAGCCTTTCTCCACTCCCTTTTGGAGCTATAAGCCTGGATAGTTCTCTCCATTGATTCTGAGACTCAGTTTGATCAGATGCAACTCAGTATTCCACAAAACAAACCCCACATTCAGGCCCCCCCATTATTGAGCAGACCCTATGTATCAGGAGAGGGATGAGAGAAGACCCTATATATCGTACTGAGGGTTATCGTCCCTCTCAGGAGATGTCCAGTGTGCATCTTCCTGTGCTTTGAGTGACAGGATCTGTTTCCTCCTGTATGTCTCAGTTTTAATTTTGTTTTATCTCTCCTGCAGAGAGATCTGAACAGAATAGATTGCTGTCTTCTTTAACTTCAGTCTCAGTAATCTGTTGATCACTGTAGTACTTTGCCAATTTATAATTACATAGTTATGCATTTGCTTACTTGTTTATGGCTCATGTGCCTTCATTAGACTTCAAAGCTTCATGTACGAAGAAATTGTGTCCATTAAATCTCTGCCACAGGCCCACTGCCTAAGATAGAGACAGGGAAACTGAGGCAAGGGATTGAAACTCATCTCAGTCTGTTTCCAATATCCCAAACTCTCACCTCTCCTTGCCTGATCATATTTGCCACCCAGGATCTATATCAGAAACAAATGAGATGTTATATATGCCAGTTGCTTTGCAAACTGGGAAGCTTTGGGAAAATGTCATTCTCAGTAAGGTTCGGCCAGATTCCGCCTTCAACATCTAGGATTACATGAAATAGGCAAGAGTTTCCCTGAATCTCGAGCAAAAGTAGACAGAGAAACTGACTCTTGTCTCCATGGAGGTCAAAATTAAATATGTCTAACCCAGAGCCCAGTAAGTATAAGACCCTGGGAGGACTCAACAGAGCCTCCCAAAGCCCTGACCCCCTGGTTGAGTTCTGAGGAGCCTTGAATTCTCTGAAATTGCTGAAGGATTTCCTGTGGCCTAGGTGATCTCATTCCATGCTGGACCCTGTAAGTGGAAGGGAATCTCATAGTTCCAGGGATGGTGGCTTCTGTACCCCCATTTCCATTAAGTGGTACTAGACAGTATCATGGAAAATTCTCTGACTTCCTTCCTTGAGGTGGTTGTCATTATTTCCTTCTGGCAGTATAATCCTCAGGCCTTCTGCCCTGCAGGCCTTAACCCAATTTTCTCTGGTGTTTCATGAACCACAGGTACCTGACTTCATCCCCTTTTTGGGATGCTCAGGACATTTCCCCACCTCTACAGTTCAGTCTCTGAGGCTAGGAGTCTCTGATTAAGTGTCCAGCCTGGTGAGTGAGTGATAGCCTCTTACTTCATTTTTTGTTTTGATTTTTTATTAGTGCATTACAATTACACATTATAGTGAGGTTCATTGTTACTTATTTGTACATGCACACAATATAACAATATAGTCTGGTCAGTTTCATTCCCCAGTACCTCTCCTTTCCTTTCTCTGCTCCCTCCCACTCATCCCCTTCCTCTACCCTACTTCTCTTCCTCCTATTTCATGAGATCTGTATTCCCGATGCACTGAACTTAACAATAGTATGTTGGGTATATTTACATAAGACATATTAGGTATCCCATAATATTCTATGCATAAAATTAAGATGATAAATTCTGACATTTACTGAGCACTAAATAATTTGGAGTATTTCCTAAGGCTTCCAATGGTCCCCCTAATATACATATTATTGTCAATACCAATTTAGAAATGAGAAATCTAAGATGCATTGACTAGCCCAAGGGAACAAGGTTAGTGAAAAAGAGATGGAACTGGGTAGCACTGGGCAGAGCATGTTGCAGACCTGTCTCCAGTGAGCACAAGAAGTACCAAGAGTATTTCCTGTAAGAGTAAGGAAAAATATGTGTTTATTGAACCCATGTGGGACTGATACTAAGCTCACCTTGGTCCATTCAGCACGGATTATCTCTTTCAACTTTTCAATGGGTTGCAAAGGCGGCCCTTACCTTATAGATAATGGAACACACTTAAAATTCTTTCCTTATCTCTGAGATAGGATTTGCCTCAAGAGGTCAGATCACTGTGGGTCTTTGCAGCTGTGGGTTCTGGGTTGTCTAAGGGTGTTGACTATCAATGTCAGTTGAGGGTGGGCCACAGTTTGCGCAATTGGCCAAGATGTGGCCTGGTTGTACTAAGCTGCATGATTTGGGGTACTCTTTCTTCTCTCGGTTCTAGGGCAGTTCACATGGTCCATGTCCAATTCTACTCGATATTTTCCGTTATTTTTCCCAATTCTGAATTGGGTACAGGTGTCATGTTCCGAGTGTGTGTGTGTGCACCTACCATCTTGCTTAAATCTTCCAAAAAATAAATCTGTAGATCAAATGAAACAAAAATAACTGAAGGGCAGTTATCTAAGCCAGGTCCCCTCCTTCTTAGTACTGTTGTTCCTGTTAATGAGATAACATAGAGGGAAGTGTTTTACACTAGGCACGGGCATTACGGACATTGATGTTATATGGAACCTGTAATTGAAGGAGTAGAGGCTTGTAACCTTGACTTGGCCTTTCAGTGCCTTAATTAGAATTTAACACTGTAGTGTTTGTTAAGGTGACATAATGCTGAAATGCTAAATCAGTGCAGTGTGTGTCAAATCCAGGGCATGGGTTATGTGTACACACAGATTCTAGGAATGTCATCCCAAGTGACAGGCCATGGGCTTCTATCACCTGGACTATAAGCCATTTGTCCTCTTCAACAGTGAGGTGGAGACAGGGTCTGAGCTGAGACCCCTGCCCCCACCTGCCTCACTCCAATTTGGACACAGATCAGATCGGCAGCTTCTGAAGCGCTCCAGAAATCTTGATTCTCACACGTATGCATGAGAAACCAATGAGCCTTCCAGGAGTGTTTTTCTAGCAGATTTCCAGGCTGCCTATTGGTTTTCTGTCACTTACTTCAGGCCTGATTAACACGGTATAAAATTGAGGGTTTTTCAGCTGTTCTTCAAAGAGGAGGAGTCGGTTTTCTTTGCTCTTGTTCTGAAGTAAGCAATTGCATTACCTCCAAGTGAACGGAGGTTGGGAATGCAGGGAGATGAAATCGATATGCAGTTAGAAGGCAGGCAGGAGCAGAGCACACTGCTCCTACTGAGTTGGGAAGATCAGAGAAGGCTCACACTGGGTTCCTGTGCCTGCCTGCAGAAGACGAGACGGGGACACAGGCCCAAGTGAACGCAGATCGTAATAACAGCATCAGTTAACTTCTTCGGGGTATTTACCAGGTGCTGGGTTACACGTCTAACATGGTTACTCTTTTAATCCTCACAGGTATCATCATAGGCCTACTTTACAGATGAGAGAAACTAAGGCTCAGAAAAAACAATGAGTTGCCTCGAGTAGAACAACTGGTGAGTGATGGAACCCTGTTAAACCCCTTCCGTAGGAAGGCAAAACTCCTCCCTTGGTCAGCACTCTCTAATGCATCCAGAGTCGAAGCCAGACGAACTTCCTAATTGGGCCTATTAGCTCAGCCTCTCATTCTAGGAGAGAGATGGAGGAAATCTCAGAGACTCAATAAAAGTGGCTTCCTTTGAGGCCAAGAAATAGTCTCTCTTGCTGATGAAAATCTAAATTCAGAAGTTCCCCCAGGGTTAGCATGGAGTAGGGGAAACAGCCTACAAAGATAGAGAACTCAATTTGAATCCCAGCTCCATTTGGTGCCTTGGGACTCTGAGCCAGTCACTTGATCTCTCAGAGCCCCAATTCTCTGACCTCTGAAATGATGGTGGTGGTATCTATCTTTCAGCAAAGTGCCTGGCCCTTTATAAGTGATTCATATCGGTTGGCTCCTTTCTCTTTCTGGGGGCCTCAGTCCCCTTGGGACTCTGAAAAAAAAACCCATGAGTCCAACCTTCAGTTTTCATTTTTTTTGGAAAAGCTTGTTAGAAGTCATGCACTTGTGCAATCACCTGTGCAGAAACACACTCAAATTTCAGGTTCTTTGCTTTGCGTTGGAATGATATTAGTGGCTTTATCTTACTGAAAAGAAACTCTACTTAGCACATAGAAAAGCTATGATTAAATATTTTCACAGGCAATGCTTTCCTATTGTAAGAAGAGTTTTCCAATATATAATGTATAGGAGATATAGTTGAAAAAATATTTCTGATAAAAAGTTGAACTACTCCATGAGTGACTTCTTGCCTTCTTCACATTCATCCTAGACCAATACCCTTGGGGTTTCCATTTCCTCTAGCCACATTGTGCACTTGGTTCACACCCAGGTTAGACACTCAGTGGCCATATTCCCTTATTCTTAAACTGGCGTAGCCATCCTGCCCCTCAGATCAGACAAGTCAGAAATCCCATCAGTGAAGAAAATAACTGGGAACCTCACCATTTCTGTGATTTTCATACTGGCCAGTGGACCAGTTGTTTCCAAAATGATCAACATGGTGGCATGATGCCAGATTAAATGAGGTCTGCCTATTGATGGACTGATATCATCTTTTGTAAATGTTAAGAAGGCACGGTTGACACACAGGCCTAAACTAATTGACCTTTGATCCACACTTAAGTTTGTCATCAGGATCATTCCTGTACCCACAGAGGCAGATCTCAGCCCTGAAGGGACATCACATCACCTGGGTGGCTTTAAAAAGCCACCAAGTCTTTCAGCAGATGAATGAATCAAACTCTTTGGGTGTGACTCAGGCATCAGTTTATTTATTTATTTATTTATTTGACTGCCTGGGGTGACACCAATGCACAGCCAAGGTTGAGAAAATCTGGTTTAATGAAGAAAGAACTAGAATAATTCAGAGGGAAAAAAAAATACTTATCTGAAACCTCACCACCTACCCCTCCCCCATGACTCTGCAGTGAACTTCCCTGCCAACACCAACTCCCTGAAGAACCTGGTCAAATTTTTATGTGGCTTCTTCCTCTCTGAGGTCCTGCACATTGCAGGCTGTGAGCTGGCTAGCCGGTGATGTGCATGCTTGCTGACAACAATTCAACAGCTTCTCTTGGCATGTTTGTGCTCAAAAAGCTGAAAGATAAAGACTTCACATTAAACTAAGGGGTCTTGCTCTCTCTATTCCAATCTCCCCAAGCTGATAAATAATGGATAACGAAGAGTAGTGCTATTACGTGCATAAAGCACTTGGCATCTGCCTCCAAGACGGCCCTTTCCATCTAATCTGAGGTCCAGTTCAGCATAAAATCTGTTTGGTGGGAGGCTGGGTCCTTTTGGAGGGCTTATTGATGCTGCCAAGTTACTCAATGGAAAAAAAAAAAAGGAAATAATTTAACTCTAGAATCAATTTCAGTGCTTGTTTCTGAAAGACCACAGGCTAGGTTAGCATGAATGGAGTTTCTCTTCCTCCTTGAAAGTGTGATATTCCTGCAGCTACCTATTTATGATGAGCAGAACAGCAGAGCTCTTCAGAGAGGCTCATCGAAAATGAAGCTCCCTGGAAATTCTTCTCATGTGCATTTCTCTTGATGACATTTACCACAATCATCAAAGCCCATTTGGTTTGTAGTTCATGTGTTTAATTGTTCTTCAACTCCCGGATTGGTGCTTAAATTTCATATAGAGGAAACAGTGTCCGTTTTGCACCTCTTGTATCTAACTATTTGCACTTCTTGTCTTTAACCAAGCACTTGGTACCTAGTGGACACCCGAAAAATATTGGTTAAATGGATGCCCGCAGTACAACATGTAACCCCGGCTTTACATGGCATTTCAGAGCATGCTTTTGCTTTATTGCATATGTATTCCTTATACCCCTGAGAAAAACGTGAGCTTCTCAAAGGTGAAGAGGTGGTATGGAGGTGGGAGGCAGTTATTTTTTTGTTGGCAATACAAACTGGGCAACAGTTGAACTTTCACTGTGGCATATGGCTGTGCAGCCCTGGTGAAGTCATATCTTCAGCTTAGCAGACAAAAAAGAGACTCTATCCCAACTCCTCTGATCAGTGAGACAATGAGCCAGGGGAGACACCCATCAGTGACCTGGCATGGAGTACACATTACCCATGTGTTGGCATAGATGTGGAAGGGTTGAGCATTCATTGTTTTAGTCAGCTTTGGTCAACAGGACCAAAAGAACCAACCAGAATGATTTAGAGGATGAAAAGTTTATTTTGGCTCCTGGTATCAGAGGTTCAGTCCACTGTTTGCCAACTCCATAGCTCTGGTCCCAGCATAAGGCAGAACATCAGGGCAGAAAGGCATGGAGGAGGAAAGCAGCTCAAGTCATGGCAACAAGGGTGTCAGGGGGGACTGCTCACCAGAATCAAAATATAGACCTCAAAGTCATCCCCCCGGTGACCCAACTCCTCCTGCTACACACCACTCCTCAGTTACCACCCAGTCCATCTATCACTGGATTAATCTACTTATTAGGTTACAACACTCACTATCCAACCATTTCACCACTGAACCTGAATTGATTGTCTCACACATGAGCTTTTGGGGGACATTTCCAAACCTTAACAATTCAACAGCAAAAACTTCAAGTGCACCAGACATTTGGACCAATTATGTAACCTCTGTGACTCTTACTTTCCTCATTTCAAAAATAACCATGTTCAAGTATTTATTTTGTTTAAACTATTACAAAGTGTCTTGCAAATTGTACTCCACACGAAATTAATATCTCCAAATGTCTGTGGACAGAAGGTTGTACTTTGATACAAACCGAGAAACATGGTACCCTCTATACTTTGTGAAATAGTCAAGACTCTACAACAAATGTTTATTAGGTGCCTACTAAAAGCCACATACCAGGTATGCCAATGAACAGAATAGAAATAGTCATGTCCTCATGGAGTTTACATGTTATGGCAGGGAAAGAGATAGTAAAAAGTAAATTTTTTAAAAAAAATGCATACTGTACAGGATGAAGATAAAAGCTCTGGAGAATATAGTAAGGAAAGAGGATGAAGAGAATTAAGGGTGAGTGGAAAAGCACAGTTGCTTTCTTTTACCATAACTATAGATTCTGGGGAGTGTTCTGATTGGCCTGTGTGATTCACCTGCACATATCTTGAACCAATCATTGTTGAAAACTTTGTATGGACTCTGTGATTGGCCAGACATGGTCATGTGCTCACTCCTAGGATCACTCTAGGGTTGACCTCCAGGAGGAGGAAAAAGAAAAAATTACAATAAATATAATGTCAACTTCTACCACAGGGCACTGGGAACTTCTGGAAAACCAGATTTTTTTGATAAGTTAATAATTCAGAGAAACCCTGCAGTGAATGTGTATAATGTTGCTTGTTCCAGTAGTCCCCCATTGTATTGATTCACATAGTTTTGTTTGTGTAAAGTCTTTAAATACTGAACAGGGCACATCTTGCTATAAATTCATATAATGTCATCAATACTCCATCTGTAGTGAATGTTTCCTGATTATTAGTAAATCTCAAGTTTGTGCAAACCTATAAAGAACTCTGTAGATTTTGAAAGTCAGCCCTATTTTTTTTCTTAATGAAAACTACGTCTTAGAACACAAGTATATTTCCTCAAAAATATTGAAAAGTTTAAAGAAATTAGCATAGTGTCCTCCATGGGTTAGAATGTACCTGCAGATGATAAATGCTTGAATCAGAAGCTGGAGGACCTGGTTGTGAGGCAAAAAGAGACCAGTTGTCCCAGTCAAATTAGTCTATTTTAATGAGAAACTTTTCGGATGTTTTATAGAAATGTTTGCAGAATCACAGCCCTGTAAAATGTCATGTCATATTCCTTGTGACTTTGGAAAATGTCATGAAGTGAGCTACTATCAGTAGGGATCTTAATGCTTCCAATAAATGCCTCTCATGGAGAGGGAAGCAGATATTTACAATTGCCGCAGAGGTACAGGTCACAAAACATAAAACAGCTGGTTGAGCCACAGAAGCAAAGGACCCCAAACTTTTCACAGCAGCTGTCAGTGTTCATGGGTAGAGTCCAGAACTAACCCTATTACTAAGTCACTGTCTCAGTCTAGCAAGTTATTTCACCCTCTGGGGAACCTGGATTTCCTTTCAGTGAATGCTGGGGTAATTGAAATGAACTCCTGAGGTTTAGGGGAAAAGGTCAGTGATTTGACAACCAAAGAGACCTCATAGTACACTTTCCCTTTAGACAAGTTTTGTTTTGTTTGCTTTGTAATGGCTCCTGTTGAAAATTCAATGTACACCCATTTGAGTACTATTTTAAAATTATAAAGAAAATAATACCAAAGCCCTTGTATTAATGCAGGAATTTGCAGAGGTGGAATGACTGGACTATGAGATATATAACCTCATTAGCCTGTCCTAGTTTGGCTGGACTAACTAACTGGATTGTAACTGTAGGAGGGGAGAAGGGTGTGGCTGGAAGAGGCATGTCAGTGAGGGCATGCATTGGAAG